GTTTCTTGTAAACCTGTTAGCTATTTGCAGCAAAACGTTTGATGGTTGTGTGATCACGCCCCAATATCTTAGTAATTTCAAGCGTGCTGCATCCCTCTGAAAGACCTTTTACAATTTTGGACTTTTCAGAGTCACTTAAATCTCTTTATTGGCCCATTTTGCCTGAGGAAAAGAAGCTGCCTAATAATTATACACATCTTGATATAGGATGTTGATCTTCTTAGCCCCACCCTCCCTCACTAAACTAATACACATCAGCTGATATGTTTAGATTCAACAAGCATTCAAGTTTATACAGCCTGGAATTGGAAAATATGCATACAAATGATATCATCAAAACTAAATTATAATTGTGCACACAGTGTACTTACAGAGCATACAGTTTTGCCTTTTGGCTGTTAAAATAACCAAAAATAATTTGAAGAATAGAACTTAAGAAGAGGCATCTAACTGTGTGGAAGAGAAAAACTTCTCTGCACCCTACTCTTGTTGCCTTGACCAGTACTCATTGATGTGCTTCTTATTAACATTTGCTGCATTCAACAGTTAATGTTAATTTGAAGTCAGGAAAAAATATCCTTCTCACCTGAACCTATTTCCTGTTTTTTCAGAAAGGAAACACAGCCCTGCACATATCCTCTCTGGCAGGTCAGGCAGAAGTTGTGAAGATCCTGACCAAACGAGGAGCTGACATCAATTCACAGTCTCAGGTAAACCCTTGTTCTCATCTTCCACAGCTGTTGATTACATTTCTCTCTTGAGCCAGGACCTTACTGCTGTAACTTTTTGAGAATTACTAAATAACGGTGTAAGACCTTACGAGTAACCATTAAGTTTGGGATTTTCCAGAATGGATTCACTCCTCTCTACATGGCAGCCCAGGAGAATCACATGGATGTAGTGCGCTACTTGCTTGAGAATGGAGGCAACCAGAGCATTGCAACAGAAGTGAGTAATCTGAGGCTCCTCCTTTTGCCAAATGTTAAAACCACCATCACTTTTTCTGGATATTTTATTAATCATATTCCTTGTAAGTATTGGGCATGGATATGTGGTAAGTAACCATTCAATTTTTTCTCCGTCTTCTCTCATCTAGGATGGTTTTACACCCCTAGCAATTGCCCTCCAGCAGGGACACAACCAGGTGGTTTCCATCTTACTGGAAAACGATACCAAAGGCAAGGTTCGCCTGCCCGCCTTGCACATTGCCGCACGCAAGGATGATACCAAATCAGCCGCCCTGCTACTTCAGAATGATCACAATGCCGATGTCCAGTCAAAGGTATGGCCGTTGTTCATTGTGATGGGTTAGGCTTGGCATGTGTGGAAGTATAGTAGTTTGTCAGTGTTTTATATGGAGGGTAGATAGAGCTAAGTAAAATATGCAGAGCTATTATGTTGAAATGAGTTGTTTGAGACGTTCCTGGCTTTACATCTGGTAGCCAATAGGGAAATCATTGGGCATTTGTGAGGTAGCGCTAGCAGCTTTAGCTCACTAACTGTAGGAATTCACCACATAAGTGATAATTATTTTCCTTCATCTATCAAGCTGTGGTCGGTATCTGGATAAGCTCTGCTGATTGTCAATAATCTTATTGTTCTGTTGTCTTAAAAAAAACTCTTCAGAATCAAATTCAATCATTCACTTTATTTTGGTAAATTGTCCACATTAAACACAGAAAAGAACAAACAAACAAAAAAAAAAACAATAAACAAACCCATAATTTACCAAAAAGGGAATAGGCTGAAGCCAAGCTTATTCTTGCCTACCCTATTTTGTACCCAACAACCTACCAAGATATCTTCGCAATACACATATAAGATTTTATCATTTTACATTTTAGAGCTCTTTTAAAGCTCACCAAGAAAGGACATAACTTAAAATCATCATTCAGTTCATTCCATAGTTTCACACCAATAACTGAAACACATCTAGACTTTATCTGGCTTTTCTCTTTTGCACATTCAAATTATATTTATTCTCTCTCAATTTAAATAATTTCTGAATACCAGAAGGAAGACTTTTGTTCAATGTTTTATACATTATTTCTAGTATTTTTACATAAACAATATCTTTAAATGTTAATATATTATTTTGAATGAAGAGTTTATCAGTTGGTTCACAGTACCCCACCTTATTAAAAAGCCTTATAAGTTATTTTAGCAACTTAACTAATACATCAGTGTTGGTTTTACTTGCATTTCCCCAGATTTCTGAGCAATAAGACAAAGAAGGCATAACCAAAGAAGAATATATAGTATGAGGGTCTTTAACATTTACTAGATCTATAAATCTTTGTTATACTGAAGATTTGATTAACGTTTGTGGGTGCATCATAGCTGAATAGTGATCACAATACCCATGTTTTCCTTCTTACCCACAGTGATGCTGCAGAAATTACCCTTTATAGGGGCTTGATAGTTTCGTTAAAAGTGTAAAAGATCACTCAAATATTCTACCAGGGCTTAACTAGGTCTAATCCAGTTTTGTTTGGGATCACAGTAATGAGATTACTTGTACCTACAGTGATCATTATCTACAGTCTTGATCATATATAGTTGTAGCCAGAGGGAAATGGGTATCATGCTATAGTTTGTTTGATGCTTTTGTATGAATGTAATCTCTCATCTAAAAAAATTATTTTCATAAGAACGTAAATATAACTGCAAAAGCAAGCCTGTGTTTAATCCATCTCGTCCTTCCACAACTCTACCAACTGAGCTGGTTATGTCTCTTGTCAGTGTGTACTTCTATCAGTGAAGCTGACATTGCAGACACAGATTCAGATTTGATTTGTTCTTCATCCCTGGATGGATCATTCAGCATGCTAAAAACATGAACAAATTAAGTTTCACTTGCAGGTCTAGCATTATGCAATTCTAAAATTACTATTAAAAAGGTGTAACTACCAATAACATTAAAACCAAGTGAAACAAATAAAAATAGGTTTTAGAGTTCCTGAGTCGAGGAGTTGAGAATTAGCTTTACCGAGAGCAACAGCAGCGGGGCTGGTTATAATGTTAACATCATCCCCTACTTCACACCTACTCACAAACTCCGCTCAGTGGCAAACTCTTGGCACCTTTCAGAGATACTTCAACTTTCCACAGCATATTATTGCCTTCCATTTCACATAATGAGGCTTGCACAACTCACACAGATCCTGACATAAAGGTGTCTTTTAAAAAGTACACTCATCTCTACTGGGGTCATACAAGGGAACTTTTAAAGTGTCACTCAAGACTCACAATCAGCTCTGTTTGCACCTATTAGTTGCAAATAAGATCTTTGGTACATGAGTTGGTACCCACATGACTGCAGGCCATCTAAGAGGGAAAACAACTTTGATCTAAAAGGTTCTTGTTTCTTGCAACTGCAGTGGATTTGAGCAGCATTCATTCAGTCATTACAGCAGAGGTTCCCAAACTGTGGGGCGCGCCCCCTACGGGGGGCTCCGTGTCATTGCAGGGGGGGCGCGGGAAGCCGTCTGGATGGAAAAAAAAACCCAAAACATGAACACTGTATGCGCTGGGTTTTTACCTTAGAATGGCCAACTCTCTGTTATTCCTGTCAGTTTGATACAGTAGAGGCTTCCACACTTCCCATATCTGTGTCCTCTGTCACTTTTATCATTAAAACTGTTTAATCCGTTGTTAACATGTTGTAACCTGTTTTTCCGAGCCGCCTTTAAACGCAACATGAGCGCTACTCGCGCTGGGTTTACACCTGTGAAGGAGACCTGCTGCTGCTGTGCGGAGCTACGTAGGTTTGTGTTAGAATCACGGCAGCAAACCAGCAAAACGCAAAGAACTTTTCACAGTTTTTCCCTCCAAACTAACCGACTGAGTCGAGTAAAGTTGTTGGATGCAGGTAATGTTAGCTAAAAGATGACTAGCTAATATCAATACAGAACCTTAAGCTTAACAAGTAGGCTACCGATGTTGGTGTCTATTTTCAGCTACGTACATTCATTTTCCCCCAAAAAAGTCGATGTCCGTCCGTCCGTCCCCCCGTCACACGCGTCGTTTCAACCAGACAGCCATTTGTAATCCATAGGGGGGGCGCAGAAAATGGTTGGAAACAACCACAGGACGTAATCAGACTGAAGATATTTAGCAATCATTGTTTCTTGTCGTTGCAAGCACATTTCTTTTTCCTTTCAGATTAGTTCAACCCAGGCCAAACGTGAACTGATATTCTTTCTGTTATGACAAAGTGTTGAATCATAAACAGAATGTATTTGAAATTAGCATATTATCCAGATACTAATCACAGTATGTTTACAACAAAGGTTTCTATACTTAGTTAATGCCAGCACCTCTAATTTGTTGTGATGTAGTTTTTGACACAAATCTGCTTAAATGTGTGTAGCGTCTGGTTTCCCATCAGTCTCTATGCATCTCTTTCTCCGTTTCTGTCATTCAGTGTCGCTGTGCCTGCCACGTCACTCCTGGTCCTGCCACTAACCGGGTCTCTCCTTCTTTTCCTTTTTCTCTCTTTAAATGCTCCCTTTCACACACTTCCCCTCATCACCTCTTCCTCCCTTTCCTCGCTGCACCGATGTCTAAGTGTAGCAATGTCCAGTGCATGGAGTGTGCCACTGTCTGCAGGTTGTATCTAAGGCTGCATGCTAACAGCTGGGGACAGATGATCCTAACGAATGTTTTGGACCATCAGCTAGGGGTGGGAGGGGTTAGGAAGACAACCTGAAGTTGATGGGGCTTTACTTACAGTTGATGAAACAAGAATGTAATATTCTTTTAGTTGGGACTTTTTTCTGACATAGTTTTGTGGTTTTAAGTCACGTGGCTAGAAGAGGGTTTATATCAGTACCCACATGTCCATTCAGTCTTTCTACATTGAAGCGCCTTATAAATTCCTGCTGTAAATCAAGTTCTTTACATTACAGTTATTGACGGTAATCATAAAAAACTTCAATTGCTCTATTTACTTCAGTTACCAAAAAAATCCTAAGATAATTCATTTATTTTGTTTGAAAAAACAAGTTAAAAATAAAAAAAGTTAAAAATAAAAACAAACTAAAAACAAATTAAAACAAAAGAAATGAATTAAATTTAAAAAATCTATTTGTAAATATGTATGTTTTCTTTATTATTTGTTTTAATAGCCTCTTTGAAATATTGACCACAGCTTAGAAAACAGTCTGAAAGGAAATCAATGTGATGTTTCCTCTTAGTGGGTTGAAAAATCTACTTTTTTCTACTTTGTTTCAGTATTTATTTTAGCCCAAATTCAAAGAAATGAGAACATGTACATCACCCCTTTAATACATGCATATTAATACAATATGCATGTATTAAAAAACTTGTTCTGAAAAAAGTTCACAAAAAACAGTTTCATTTTACAGTTTGAAATCGATCCTACATTTACAGTTTTAGTCTACAAAGATATTGTTATGGATAACCAGCAGAAACTTTTATAGAATAAATTTATTTTCAGTTACATTTTTATCATACGTTTTCATGTGTAAACAGATATTTGTGTTACTTCTCATCTTGAAGTTGTAGAACCTTTTTATCCAAAGCCATTGTAGTAACCAGAGTGATACCAGCCAGGTTGCTTATTTAGCAACTCAACACTAATTGTAGATGCTTTTCTATCACATCCTGTCAGTGTTGCGTTTTAGTAATAATACTTCATAAAGCCACAGTTATTTCCCAGAATTTATCATTTACTTTAGTGAACGTTCTCTCCTGTAACACAGAGAATTCACAGGATAGAATAGAATAGAAATAGCCGGTAACACTTTATTTGAAGGGGGTTGAATAAGACTGACATGAACACCTGTCATGAACATGAATAAGCCTTCATGAATATTTATGACTGTTGTCATAAAGCATCTTTCGGTAAATTATGACACTTTTAATACAAAGTTGACATTATTCAAAATGTCTTTGTTATGACAACTTGACATTAACCAAGAAATCATTACTGATATAAATTTGTTATAAAAGTATTATTGATTGGGCTTTAAAAATTAGATAACTTTATGTTATTAAAGGTAAAGTTTAAACAGTAATGATTTCTTGGTTAATGTCAAGTTGTCATAATAAAGACATTTTGAATAATGTCAACTTTGTATTAAAAGTGTCATAATTTACCGAATGACGCTTTATGACAACAGTCATAAATATTCATGAAGGCTTATTCATGTTCATGACATGTTATGTCATGTTTATGACGGTGACATGACAGTCTTATTCAACCCCCTTCAAATAAAGTGTTACCAAATAGCCTTTATTCTGTCTTAGATGGCAAATTCAGGTATAACAGGAGCAAAGTCAAATTATGTAGGTTCACAAAAAGATAAAAAAAATAGATAGACAAATAGTAAGTACAATAGGTTGTAAAGTAAGGACAAGTTTACAACATAAAAAATAACATTTTGACCCTTTGCATCTATGTCACTTAATTATTCGAGGCGCCATGACTTACGCATTGGAAGTGAGAGATGGGAGTATTGAACAGAGCAACTGAACTTGTTTTTCCAAGTGGTTTTTGCCAATTTATTCATGGCTTCTACTGGTTCAAGTCAAGCTATTTTGTCTGTAAACATAGCACACCCACTAGGGGCTTGTAGATTGCAATATTTACAAAAGTTGAAAATAGCTAGCTTAGAAATCGACCCATGCCTCCTCCCTCCTGACGTGTTGATCAAATGACTGACTTTGCCTGAATTCATACTGCATGATTTACAGTGGGAACAGAAAGTATTCAGCCCCCTTTAAATTTTCCACTTTTTGTTTCATTGCAGCCGTTTGCTAAAATCAAAAAAGTTCATATTATTTCTCTTGTATGTACACTCAATATCCCATCTTGACAGAAAAAATACAAATTTATTAAAAAAGAAAAAGTGAAATATCACATGGTCATAAGTATTCAGACCCTTTGCTGTGACACTCATATTTAACTCATGCTGTCCATTTGTTCTGATCCTCCTTGAGATGGTTCTACTCCTTCATTGGAGTCTAGCAGTGTTTAATTAATCTGAATGGGCTTGATTAGGAAAAGCACACACCTGTCTATACAAGACCTCACAGCTCACAGCGCAGGTCAGAGCAAATGAGAATCATGAGGTGGAAGGAACCACCCAAGGAGCTCAGAGACAGAATTGTGGAAAGGCACAGATCAGGCCAAGGTTATAAAAGAATTTTTGCAGCACTCAAGGTTCCTAAGAGCCCAGTGGCCTCCATAATCCTTGAATGGAAGAAGTTTGGGACGAGCAGAACTCTTCCTTAACCTGGCTGTCCAGCTAAACGGAACAATCGCAGGAGAAGAGCATTGATGAGAGAGATAAAGAAGAACCCAAAGATCACCACTGAGCTCCAGAGATGCAGTGGGGAGATGGTCAACAATAACTGCAGCTCTCCAGTCGGGGCTTTATGGCAGAGTGGCCCGACGGAAGCCTCTCCTCAGTGCAGACATAGGAAAGCCTGCATAAAGTTTGCCAAAAAACACATGAAAGACTCCCAGACTATGAGAAATAACATTTTCTGGTTTGATGAGACAAAGATTGAACTTTTTGGTGTTAATTTTAAGCGGTATGTGTGGAGGAAACCAGGCACTGCTCATCACCTGCCCAATACAATCCCAGCAGCGAAACTATGGGGGTGTTTTTCAGCTGCAGGGACAGGACGACCGGTTATAGTTGAAGCAAAGATGAATGTGGCCAAGTACAGAGATATCCTGGAAGAAAACCTCTTCCAGGAAGCTCGGGACCTCAAATGGGTCGAAGGTTCACTTTCCAACAAGACAATGACCCGAAGCACACAGCTAAAATAACAAAGGAGTGGCTTCAGAACAACTCTGTGAACATTGTTTATTGGCCCAGACAGAGCCCTGACCTAAACCCAATGGCTTCACAAACATTCACCATCCAACCTTACAGAACTGGAGAAGATCTGAAGAAAGAAAGGCAGAGGATCCCCAAATCCAGGTGTAAAAAAGGGTGCTTCTAATCAACACTGAGCAAAGGGTCTGAATACTTAAGACCATGTGATATTTCAGTTTTTCTTTTTTAATACATGTGTAAAAATGTCTACATTTTAGGTTTTTTTTTGTCAAGATATGAACTTTTTGATTTTAGCAAATGGTTGCAATGAAACAGAGTGAAAAATGTAAAGGGGTCTGAATACTTTCCATAGTGACTGTATGTCATAAATGGCCTTTTCCCTTACACCAGAGCAGCCTTAAAAACGTACAAAAGACTAGATGCTAACCTTTTTTTTTTTTCTTTTGACGGTGCGGCATTGTCTCCATATTATTAAAGGTTAGACGCATACCTTCTCCATAAAGCAATATTTGGTATCTTTCTAATCATACTCACTTCTAAAGTATATGAATGTTTGTTTTCTCTGAGATTACACAGAGAGCTGACACTCCTTAAGACTGACAGCTCCTATCCATCAACATGTCATTCCTCATTCAAAGTTATGCAATAAAATCACAAGATTGGTTTGCATCCTTGTCTGTTTGTGCAGCAAACTGCACAGCATCCTTTGACCATTTTTAAAGTGAAATCAACAAAAAAGCGATATTAAATTACAGATGTGTGTTCTTTTGACAGGCTTTTCATGAGTGCATGGGTTGTTTTGACGTCTATCATGGCGCAGTGGCCAGAGTTCTGAAGAGCGTAACATCACATGCAAAAGGTCAATAGGTTAAATATTCCAGGAACCAGGGTATAATAAGTTGACCTCTAACCTGGTAGGAACTGCTGCATAGACAGTCTTCACCCGCTTTAATATAAGAGCATGAATATAAAGAAGTAAAAAATTCTTAACAGTCGATAAGCAACACAGATGTCAAACTTTATTCAGCTGAAAGTTTGCAAAACAGCTAAATAAATTAGTGCTTTCAAATTTATCCAGAAAAATTGATTTAGGGGAAGTTAAGTGCACTAAATCTTTTCAAAGTTAGCAAAAATGCTAAACAAAAAATGAGCGTTGCTAATAGCGCATTAGCAAAGAGTACCTACAACTGGACTGCCTTGGTCCTTGAAGGTACACTGCAAGTTTGAGGAAAATCATCTTTGAGATGTGGGAAAGCAACCTGTAATTTAAAATAGTTAATATGTTATATTAATAGTCTTTATTGTATTATATATATTATATTATTCTATATTTAACTATTTTGTAGCATTTCAATGTAGTACTTAAGTCTTTTCACTATAATATATGTTGGTGAGATAAATTTTGACTTAAATAATGTCAATCAATTTGAAAGACAAACCACAGGATGTATCTGAGACGGGGAATAAAATAAGCCACTCTAGCCACGTCACTGCCCAGATTAGAATATGGCTGCACAGCCTCCTCTGCTGTGCATGGACTATAGTGGAGTTATGTGTAAAACAAAGCTAACTGAACTGGTCTTTCCCTCCCTCATTCCCTCTGCAACAGATGATGGTCAATAGGACTACTGAGGTATACACATCCCCCTTTAATTCACACAGATTTGTTTCTTTATCATCCCCTTTTCTTTCTGTCCACCACCGTACCTTGTCTTGCAAAGTAACCATCGTTTGGGTCATTTTATATTTTCTCTGTTTCAGTTGATTTGGTACGGTTTATTCAGATTCCACCCTGTATGGCTGACAGGAATGGCTAAAGTTGCTGTCCCCTGCACAGTCCACAAATTTCATTACGTTGCATTAATATCACTGAATCTTTATTTTCCTTTATTATGTTTATTCCCCTGAGAAATTCATTTTCCATCTGGAATCCTCAGTGCATTTTTAAATATCATAAGCATCTCTGAGTAGCATAATGAATTGAAATGAATGCACTTTCCTTCTGTGATATCCTAATTTGATGCATATTGTGCTGATGCCTTCCTGAGAAAGCTGTCTGTTAGTCTGTTATATAAAGTAATAATGTCTGTTTGGTGTTGCATGGTCTCTCTTGTCTCTCTTGTCGCACTATTAACTAGTTGCTGAAGTTAAAGTAGAAGCAATGTACTGACACATGTCTGATATAATATTACACAAGTGCTTTAAATGAATGACCAAGGCTGCCAAAATGAAACTGAAATATTTTAAATTCAAACTATTTCCCAGCAGGGTTTGGTGAAAGATCATTTTAACTTGAGGTTAAAATGAAGAGTGAAGGGTCAGTTTCCCCTTCAAAGAATGAGAGTTTGTTCCAATAACTAGAGAAAGATTAATCTTTGTCTTTATTTTTATTCAAAGGCAAAAGCGTTCGAAGACCCATCTCACTGAACACAGTAGAACAACAAAGATCACATGATTATATAGTCACAGCAAAAAAGAACACACCCAAAGTCTGAACTTATCTCCATTACTAGGTGGACAACAGAGCCACATCTTTATCCACTGTCATGCAACTGCCCGATTTTTAGTTAAGACTTTTCATTGGAAACCCACACCCTACGTGTATGGCAGGAAATGATAGCTGACAAGGATTCCAACCCCAACTTCTAGTTCTTTATCAGTAACTGTAATGTAATTTTATTTATATAGCACATTTTCTGCAACAAGTCAATACAAAGTGCTTTACAGGAATTAAATTGAAATGCAAACAAAATAACAAACCAAAGGAAAAAGCAAAAAAAAAAAAAAAGTAAAGAAAAATAATCTAATGTTGATCTAAATAATGAAAACTAAGTGCTCATGTTCAGGGTTGCTAAGTATCCTCTGGTCTAATTCCATTTCTGGGTTGAAAGAACAGG